CCTTCATCTGGAACTCCACCTAACAGCACCCATCCTCCTTCATCTGGAACTCCACCTTCCCGTACCCGTCCTCCAACAACTGGAAGTCCACCCACCCCCCTTCTCCTTCATCTTGTCCAGCAAGAACTACAACTCCATCCCCCAGTACCAGTTCTGCCCGTCTGCCAGCAACAGTGACGCCACCCCCCAGCACCCTTTCTTCAAGATCTGGAACTTCGTCCCTCTTACCTGACTGTAGCTCCATTCCCAAGACATCCAAACCAAAAAAAACTTTAAAGTCAAAAAAGGACGTGGCCCATAGGCGTTCTGCTTTGCCAGCTTATTGATATTTTTACAAGTACATTCTTTTTTTTAATTTATATTTTTGTAACAACTTTTTTTGCAGTGATGCTACCAAATAGGTAACAGTTTCTATTTTTACTACACTTGGGATTGCATTTTTTTTTATTTTGACACTTGTTTCAAGGCATTTGATACAAACATTGATACAAGAACATGTGTTAAAGTTTCTGTTCAACTTGTTTTTTAAAAAAAGAACGAAGTTTTCAACTTTACATATAGTTGTGCATTTCAAGAAAAAAGCCTTCAATATTTCAAGCAAGAATTAAATTATAAGACAAGGTATTCAAAGATTCTGCTTTAGGAATGAAGTTTTCAATATTAGTGGTAACTGATGTTATTTTGTAACAAGGTTTTCAATTTTGCATTTGTCTGTTACAGTTAGACTTAAAGAGATGATAGAACAAGATTTTAAATGTTTCTGTTCAACTTGTCTTTAAGATAAGAATGAAGTTTTCAATTTCACATATAGTTGTGCATTTCTAGAAAAAAGGTTTAAATATTTCAAGCAAGAATTAAATTATAAGACAATTTATTCAAAGCTTCTGCTGTAGGAATGAAGTTTTCAATTTTACTTTATTTTAAGTGGTAACTGATGTTATTATTGTAACAAGGTTTTCAATTTTGCATTTGTCTGTTACAGTTAGACGTAAAGAGATGATAGAACAAGATTTTAAATGTTTCCCCTACAGTATGAAAATTGATTTAAGTACAAATGGTGACATATAAGAAAATGATTTTTGAACAAATAAAACAGAATTTGATTGAATACAGCAGATTGATTGATTTAACTGGCTCCTTTCCTTCCCAACGTTGTATTTTCTCATTTTATTTTCCCTCTAGGGTTTAAAATAATTATGCAAAGAAGAAAATAGCAGAAAATGTAATCATGTCTGTTGTTGAGCTTTGCCTTCCAGCCAATACATGAGCATGTTGCAACTTTACACCAGTTATACATTTAAATCTGGCTTACTAAGATGCCTAAACGCTTTATTTAGATGTAAAGGTGGCGTAAATGTGGAGTTTATACCAGCTATGCGTATTATGTCTGTTGTCGCGCTTTTTCTGCAAGACAAGAGCATGTTAACTTTACATCACAGTACATATAAATCTGGCCTAAAGATGCCTATACACTTTATTTAGATCTATGTAAAGGTGGCGTAAATGTGAAGTTTATTCAAGCTTTACGCTGGCTTTTAGTCCACTTACAGGTGTTTCTTTACTCCAGCTTTACGCAAAAGTGTAAATGTAGCGTAAAGCTTAACTTTACGTAATGTAAAGGTCGTGTAAAGGTGTGTAAATCCAAACTTTACACCAGCTTTACGCTCACATTATGCTAACTTAAATTTGCCTTTTCATGCTGTGAAAACAAAGGAGCACACAGCTAGCATTGATGGATATAAGTAAAACATAGTCTTGATTACAGCTACTAACAATGAAAACTTGTTATCACCGAAGTTTTTAGAAACAACTGAAGGTCAGTTATTGATGTAATCTAAGATAAACAAGGAGCTCATGAACCAGAGCTGAGTCACGCAATGTTCTTTATGTGCGATAGCAACATATTTGCCACCCAGGGCAAAGTAAATCATAATGAAACAATGGCTGAAGTACGCTCTAATTAGTTAACTCTATTTTACGAGTAAAATGTCCATTAACAGAATCCAGTTATCTTGTGAAAGTCAAATCCAAAATTCAAATCCCATGAATAAAGGCAATCCGTAAATCCATTCAGTGACAATCGCCGTTACTGAGTTAGTAGTTCGCACGTAAACATGTTTTTCAAAATCCAAAAGTTTCCAGAAAATCTCAGGGCGGACTTCTTGAAGTTATTTATCCAGGTCTTCCTCAGGCACATTTCTGCACTGCCAAGCACCAACTTGTATTCGCCCTTTAGCATATTTTCATCCGTTTCACGGCTATCGCCAACAGCTACAGCTGATATGCCTATGTCGGCAAGTTCCTGAAGCTGCTCTTCTGTTATAGCATTCAATGCGCTAACAATGATAATGTGACAATTTTTCCTGCTGTTCACCAACTCGAAGATTCGCGGATATGGTTGGAAAATTAAGCTTTTACCAAATCCTGTTGGTAACAAACCCAACACGTCTTTCTTCTGTACCAATGCTGCGATACATTTCTTCTGTTCATCCTTTAAACAATCGATATTGGGAAAACTTTCGAGAGCGCTTCTATCGCTTCTTCCAAACTCAAGGGCGCCATTTTTGTTTACTCATCTTGATCTGAGACCCAGCCAGACTTCACTTTTAACTTCAGGATCATTGTCAGTTGGTTGTTGGCAAATAGACTGGTTTCGCCAACAGTCCTCACCTTGCGAGAGGACGTTTGGGCCGTTAATCCACTGGCTGTCTTGAAGAAGGTCTTGAGCTGAAAGACCTCTTGAACAATCGTCCGCAACGTTAAGGCGTCCAGGGACATGTCGCCAGGTTTCAGGATCAGACACTTCCTTTATTTCAGCAACTCGGTTGGAGACGAGGGTATGGAACCTGGTCCCTTGACTCTTGATGTAGGGCAGGATTCTGGTAGAATCTGTCCAGTAAGTAATTTGGCTGGGTATCACATCTAGCTCTTTCTGGAAGGTCTGACTCATTCTAACCATCATTACAGCAGCTTGAACTTCCAATCGTGGGATCGTTAGGGGCTTAATCGGAGCGAGCCTTGTCTTTCGGAAGATGACGGAGCAATGATAGGAGTGATCCTGTGTTCAAATCTCCAATAGGCAGCGGCACCAAAGGCAACCTCTGAAGCATCAGCAAAGACGTGGATTTGTTCGCCGACATACTGGGCACTTGGTTGGTTGATAAGGTAGCATCTGGGAACTGACAAGGTCACAAGGAGAGGTAGTTCTGCCCTCAAGGCCTCCCAGGCATCTAGTAGTGGGCCTGATATGGGTTTGTCCCAATCAAACCCGAGTCTCCACAGCCTTTGCAGAATCAACTTAGCCCGCAGTACAAATGGTGCTACCAATCCAAGGGGATCGAAGATAGTTGATATCTGCTTTAGAATGCCTCGCTTGGTTGGGGCTTACTGCTTAGGGACTACTTTAATTTCTAGAGTGTCCTGCTCCACATTCCACAGCACTCCCAAGGCTCTCTCAACTGGAAGGCTGTCCAGATCCAAATCAAATGGCTGTGAGATCCCAGGGCTGCTGAGAATGTTTTTGGGAGGTAGCTGAGCTAGTACATATCGGCTAAATTGCTCATGAACTTAGTCAATCGAAAGCCACCCCTTGACAAAAGCTCAATAAGCTGGAGGGCGAGCTGAGCTGTCTCATCCTCAGAGGGCAGGGACTTCAAGAGGTCATCCATGTAGAAGTCTCTTAGGACTGTACTGGTATTTTCTTCATTGCTAGTGTTTTGTTTATCAATAGCGGTTCTCTTCAGACAATAATTTGCAGAGGTTGGACTCCACTTTGCACCAAAGATCATGGCCTGCATCTGATAGACGTCAGAGGGATGATCTCTATTTGGACCTCTCCAAAGGAATCTCAGTGATTGCTGATCTTTCTCAATAACTGGTACCTGAAAGAACATTGCTTCAATGTCCGCAATCATGGCAACAGCATGTAGTCGGTGTCACAAGAAGATTCACTGCTCTAGAGCACTGCAGAGTTCCATTATTTTCAATGTTTCCCAGGCAAAGTAGTCGCTCCGGTCCTTCAAAATTCAGCTTGTCGGCAATGTCTCTTCTTATCAAGGTGTCTGAGCTGCCGTCATCCAGAATAGCAAACGTTTCGATCGTGGCCACCCTGTTTTCACCTTGTATTTGGACTGGGACAACTTTGAAATAAACCACTCTCTCTTTGGCTGCGAGGGCGTTGGGGGTTGCCACATACGGCAGGGCATTCCCCAGAGTCAGCGGGGGCTGAGTTTGTGGGTCCTGACGAGGTGGTGGCTGAGGTGTTGCACGTTCATAGTGTAACAGACTGTGATGATGTCTCTTACGGTTAGTGACTTGGCAATGAGTTTTGTTCGAGCATTTATTAACGTGATGTCCCTGCTTGAGACAATTAAAGCACACCTTGAAACATCTTGGCCACCTCATAGCGCACAGGTACAGACTTTCTTTTAAATTCATTACATCTGTAAAGTGGGTGATTCTGATTACAGCATAGGCAGCCTGGTGACTTTGGTTCTTTATTTGTGGGTTCTTCTCCCTTTGGCTGTGGGTCGCCCTTGATGTGCAGTGTAGAAGAGTTCATGGGTGGATCCTGTTTTGGTGGTTTACGCCTGTTAGGTGGCGGACATTTGGCTAGTTCGTCATACACCAGGTGTTGTCTTGCTCTGACATGTTCTGAGAGCCATCGGTCCAGTTAGGCTTTCCCTGACTTTCATGTTTCTGAACTTCCATCGCCCACTTGGATTGCAAAGGTCCAGGGAGCTTTTGAACAGCAATATTCAGATTTGTCTCACTTAAGAGATCAGCAGTGAATCTCTGTCTGTGAGGGGTGACGACAGTTGACCTCAGTGCTTGGTACAGCTTCATAAGACCAGTATGATCTTGAGGGCGTGGTGATGGTGTGTCCTTAAGGGCAGTAATGGCTGCATTGTAATTTGCACTATCTTCTCCAAGGAACTGGATTTCTGACTCTGCAGCACCAGTTACAGTGTTCTGAAGATATGCTAAATGCTTGCTATCATTCAGAAAGGGCTGATCATGCACAATCTTTTTTTAAATCTTCCAATCCACCAAGGCCAGTCAAGCGGTGAGCCATCAAATTTTCCAAGGTCAAATTTGGGCAGTGAGCGTTCCATGGCAGAAAAGCTACAGTGGTGATGTGCTGTTAGTTGAGGCCGAGAAGTGACGCCATACTCATGAAGTTGATCTATGCAAGCATCTGGAGGGGGTCCTGGAAAGTCACGCTTTAGACCCCATCTTGGGTGTGGCTGTAATGATGTTCCTGGTAAACTGGGTCTTGGTGACACAGCTTGGTTGGGTACAGTCCAGCCTCTCCAGGAGAAGGTTTGTGAAACTAGTGTACTAATCTGTTTCAAGTCAGATGGGACTTGATTGGGTGCAGTCGAGCCCCTCCAAGGGGAGTTTTGTGTAGCTGGTGTACTAATTTGTTCCGGGTTCAACAGGGCTTGATAGAGTACAGTCCAGCCCCTCCAAGGGGAGTTTTGTTTAGCTGGTGTACTAATCTGATCTGGGTTAGATGGGAGCTTGTAACATGCTACAGGAGTTGAAATTGAGTCGGTTACTGTTGTAACTGTTCTAGGATGAGTAAGAGGAACTTTGGGTGTGGTATAACTTGTAGCTGGCACCGTGGTTAAATTGCTTGTACTGGTTGTATTATGCACTTTATTTTCAACAGTGGTTATGGGTAGCTGCATTACTGGACTAGTTCCAGTTTCAACTGGCTGATGTACAGGTGGTGACGAGATCTGAACAACTGAGGTTTGAACTACTGGGGCATCACTCGTGGAGTCGTCATGGCTAAGTAATTTGTCAACATTCTCTTTTGAAGATTTCAAGAGTTCTGGTACTGACATTTCATCCACTTCTTTCACGAGTTTGGCCTCCAACATAGCTCTTTCGGCATAATGTATCTCAATATTGTCAAAACAATCATAAACAGGGGCAAGGGTTCCCTCCATCCAATACTCTGGTTCATCGTCATCGGGATTAAGCTCAAACAAGGCTTGATTAATATTCTCTAACTGAGACACAGCTTTCTCAAGGTCTAACTTCAATGAAGCAGGTGTTTCTTTGCTTAACCGTTTGCTAATTTGAGGATTTATCTGATTGACTAGCCTCGATGCGTGTGCTTTCTTTCCACACCGAGCTCCTCGAATTGTCCGAGCTTCTTCATGGGCTACATTATCCCTTGTTCCAATGACGTAATCCTGAAAGTCCTCAGACAGAGAGCAACTCAAGCTTGGCAAGTAATCTCGATGTGTTTGTCTTCCAGCTTCATGCAAGTAATCCTCAGGAAACCAGTCAGGGCCTGGTTGTTTATCCCACAGCAAACCATTTGATTCGGTCATCTCGCTCGTTTAGGATATTATTTCCAGTGAAACATCCGGCTCGAAGGACCAAACAATGTGGCGGAGGTTATACAAACAAAATAAAACGTGGGCAGCAAGCGAGAACAACAAAGATTTTAACTAGCGATCCGAGAACTACACAGTAACACAACAAAATGGCGGATCTCGCGAGCGCATGCTTGAGTCTCTAGTCCATGGTGACTAAGTCCTATTTTGGTAGAATCCGCTGGCTAAAGGGCAGTCGGCACCAGTTGCCATTACCAATAATGATAAAACCTTTGCTGATTCAATCGGAGCCAAATGACAGTCCGATGTTTATATGTGTCATCATCATATTATTTTATATGATATAAAATGCAATCTTACCTTGGAAACATGTCCTAAAACTAAATGATGAAACAGTCATTTCACTCCAAATCACTCATTTCTATACAACCGTAACTTTTTCCTACTCCGTAACAAATAACAATAATAACTTTGGTGGATTGTATGTTCCTTTATGTTGGGTTCAAGTTTGTTGAAAGATGCGTTTTGCAGAGGTATTTCCTTCAGTCGATCACAAACCACTTAGAAACTTTTCCATGCTGCTCTTTAAAATTCTTTCTATGAAAATGTAAAAGGAATTAACAAATATTTTGACGAAAAACACCACTCTTCTTTGTTGATACATAGCAAGCAAAAGACCATCTTTGTGTTCTTTACTCGATACTTTCTAACAATGCGATCCAAATACATAACCAAAACTTACTTTCTGGAAACATGACTGGATGCAGAAACCATGGGTAATATAAAACCACAGGATAAACTATTATGGAATTTTACGATCTGAGCAAGAAATACCCTCCAATTAGACTGCAGCCTTAGATCGTCTCCAGGGAATTAGTGATAATAGAACTGAAAGATTCCCACACTCGAGAATCACAGAACAAAGTTTCGTGCAGGACCGAAGTTGTTCTGTGAGCTTGAACATGGTGCCACGTGAAATTGCTTTGCACTCTCAGCACTTAGGAAAATTTGCTCTTGACTAAGGTGGCTGACATATTAACAAAAATCAGAACCTCACTATAGTGTTCAACTAAAGCAAACTGTGCATACATCCGGTAAGTTTGACTCAATCAACGGAAAGAGAAAACCAGTTGAGGCCTCCTTAAGTCACTTTCTTGAGTTGGTATGCAACCAAATACACAACTTGCAGGCTAATTGTCGGACGGTGTCCTGCTCTCTCCTGTGGTAGTAAAATGTTAAAGTAACATGGTATAAACGGTCAAAGAGCCATCGACCACAACATTTGCATTTTGGTCGTGGATGTTTTGACTTCTTTCTTCTTTCTTCTTCTTCTTTTCACCTAAAGTTCTTAAACTAATAATGCCGATAAAGATTCTTGTAATCACACGTTCTAGGTAAGCAGAGGCTCAAGCTATTTTAAAATTATCATTTTGAGATCATGTACGTAAACATGCAATGTACACTGCGCTGCCATTCACTCAAAAGATGCTCCTCAGCGTTGTTGAATAACCCGCTGTTTCCTCTCATGCCCATTTTGATTATCAAATTTAATCACACAAATTTGATCTTGTCTGGTCATACTATGTCATTGGAAATAAAGGTGAATGTTCGAAAATGTGACTTTAAACTTCGGTTGAAACAAAACTTCATTTATAAGAAAGATAAGATTAGAAATAGTAAGAAACAGGTTATCTGCTGGTTGGGGCGTACAGCAAAGCCGATTTCTGATTACATTACAATAAAATGGCTAGAACGAGTTTATAGATGAACAGATTAAGGAATAAAACGATCATACCTAAAGGGTAAAACCTGGCTTAGTCAAAAAGGCTTGAACTGTCCGTAAGGAAATTACTGACCATAAACCGTAAACACTGACCAAAAACAATTGCTGTCCAAGTGTAAATTGTTAGATCTACTTGAGAACGAAAAACTAACAATAACATAAATCATATATTCAAAGGGTTTTGCTAAAAGCAGGCCCATGGCCCAGCAGCCCACGGCCTGTGACGGCCCGGGGGCCCAAAGGCCCAGTGGCCTGCGATGGCCCAGTGGCCCAGTCCTGATTTTCCACAGTTTTTTTGTCCAGCTGTAAATCTATGCGCATGCACAGATCTGCATCGGGTTTGGGCATGCAAAATGGACGACAGTGAGTTTGAATTCGTGTACCATTTTAATCATTTGGATCCTTGTTTCCGTTTGTTGCATGTTGTTCAGATAAGAACGTTTTCATTCTCTTTTCATTCGTCTCTTTACAGAAACCAATAGAGCACTTTCATTGTCGAACGATGTAAGTTATTTTCAAACCATACCTTGAAAGTGAAAATATCATAAGTAATGAGATATGTGAACTGCAAATCTTTTCTATGCAGAGACACGTCGGTCTATTTACAGGACCCCACCCCAAAAGTAGAGCGTGTTGGCAATCATTGCTTTCGGGCGATGTAAATACCATTCTTTTTAATACGGTGAGTGCCCTGGGCGCTTATTAAATTTTTGGTCCTCAAAGGCGGTGGGCCCTTATTCGAGGCTGGGCACTTTTTAAATTTGCACCATTTTTAGCAAGTAGCAGAATTTTAACCGTTCATTGAAAGTTTTTGTAAAGTACTAAGGAAACTCGGTGTTTGGGTAAGTCTCTTAGTAGTACTTACTCAATTTCAATCTCATTGATCTCATCACTAAGGTCAACAAGTGAACTCTGCTTCTCAGTCGGGCGACTGATCGACTTGCCGTCTTTATGCTGTCGGAGATCGAGGAGGCAGCTCCTTATTCAAGGTTGGGCGAAGAAATAATGGTACATTATTTCGAGTGTAAAAGGAGTAGTTTTCGATCACGGCAAAAAGTGAAAAAATCAAATCCCGCCATCAAGAAATTCAAATTTGTTGTTTGTGTTGTGCTTCAATTTTACCCTTGGTTCATATTTTCTTTTCCTTTGTTTCAAACTCATTATCATACATTACCATACCCCTAAACAAAGGAAAATAAAATTTGAACCAAGGATAAAATTTAAATTCCAAATGAAAGAAGGTATTCTATTTGAACCCTAAACCTTAAACCCTACGAAATTGTGTACTCAGCAAACCAAATGTATTTAACGTTTTATTTCAGATCTAAAGAACACGAACAAACATGTTGTAAGAGTTTCTTGTGCAAAGTGGAACTATTGCGAAAGTTTTTCTAAGTGAGGCTAATGGTCTCAGTCTTTATAGCCCCTGTGGACAACTGACTAGCGGACACGTGCTTTGGGGCATCGAACAAAACTGAGTAAAAGAAACTCTTTAACAGCATGGAATGATGGAATGATGCCAAGTTTAGGTGCTGAGAACTAACACAACTGGCTGACGATAAAACAACTAGCTGAAGGAAAAACAACTGGCCGAAGGTGAAAACGGATCATATCAAGTTCAGGTCTACCCAAAATAGGACCTATTCAATTGTAACAACACAAGTTGAGTCTATTTAAATCACGTTTTCTCTCACAGGAAGCATGATGAGAAAGGGGTGACAGGACTCACGCCATAGATAGACTGAAGCGCGAGTTGGCTCTTCTGAAGACTGTGCAGGTGATCGTCTCCGTTTTCTTTTTTGTTTGTGGCTTTTCTTCTTTCCGGCCTGTGGTTTGCCCGTACACAACGCCTCCAGTCGTCCTTTGGGACTTGTCTTAAGAGGCCTAGTTGTGTGCTCTTCCATTTTGTTCTTGTCCTGCGCTGCAGCCACAGTGTGTGCACACACGTTATTTGCTTTGTATTGCAGACAAGAATCGTCACATTGGTATCCAAAATGTTTGTGGGGCTGCACAAGGTGGGGCTTATTGGAGGAAAAACTCTTCGCAGAACGACTTTCGTCCCCAGAAAAGGTTCTGGTCACAAGACCACCAGCAACCAATTTGTGCGCTTTTGTTTTGATAGTATCTATCATGGGCTCAGAAAATCCAAGTCCTACAAAACGATCAAACTGGAGCATGTCTTTGCTTTCTACGTTGTTGCCCTTCACTGATGCTCGAGCATCGTACATTCCAAGTGGTTGGAATTCGTCTACTTTACCTAACACGTCGGAAACGTTTGCGTTTAGCATCTTTGCCTTTCTCCTTTTCCTTTCCTGTTCGGACAGATCAGGGTTGATTAGGTGGTCAGCAAACTTGGAAACAAAGGGACAAAACTCTTCTAACACTTCATAAGGCGGTTCCAGACCAGCAAGGGCTCTTGCCGCGTCATCTTCTTCTCTCATCACCATTTCTTTCAAATCCAGGATAAAGGAGTCAACATCTTTCTCTGTGAACCCTATCCAGTTCTTCAGCATGGCGTTACCATACTCTAACACGTTGTGTGTAGAGGACTTTACTGAACTGCGGAAAGCCTGCAAGCTCTGCATTTTCTGAGATCGCCCTGTCACGAACTACTGGGATGATGTAACGCGAGTCTTAAGAGCAGAGGCGGTGCATTGGCTCCTTAAACCCAGCATTTGCATTTGGTTGCCAAGTTTGTGGCTCCAGATTCGCGTGTTTACGTCAGGCAGACATTTCGTAGCTCTTCAATGGAACTTTCCACGGTGGGCCTTGGAAGACCTATCTGTCTTGCTTTGTCTTGTATGTCATTGAAAAGATGATTGGCACATCTAATCTAAATCTGTACGCTTGCTGAAAGGTGGAGTCCAACATCTTCTCCAGGTTTATTTCGCCATCCAATCCACAACCTTTTAACGACTGAGAAAGTGAGGGTTCTTCTGAAACCAAGGCTTTAAAAAGGTGGCTGTAAGACGTTTCTGTCTTGTCTTTAACTAGAGCTACCGGCCCGATCATTACTGGATAGTTTTGCTGGCCTTTGCGTCTCAGGATCAGGTTCTGGTATGTTGTCACTACCGCCCAGAATGGTCCCAGATTAAAGGTTACTTTGACAGAACGAACCAAACTCTTGCCGAAATCTGCGCAGAAGTTTTTTGTCATTCACTTGCCTGTGGTTGAAGAGCAGATGTGTGGTAGTACCAGCTGTTTTGATAAACTGCTGGTGGAAGCGTTCGTCATCTTCCATTTTCATGGAATTGACGGACCACAACAGAGGATCTTCTCTGATGTTACCCATGGATTTAGCTTTCATGTTCTTCACATTATAGACCTGTTTCGTGCTTCGTGGAAGCTGAGAAACTGCAGAGGCGCCTGTTAGACCCCCAACCTTTTTCTCTACATTATGAAAAGCCTTTCTAGCAGACGCCTTATCATCAGTTTCCTTCTTCAATAGCTGCATAGTTGAAGGATTGACCCTGACGTACGGCAATTGGTTTCCTTTGCTGTTACCATGTGGAGGTAAATCAAATGAACAGGGATCTCCCTCGAATCCGTACTGAATAAATACGTATGGGAATTCTTCGGGTTCAACAACGGCCTTGACGAGGTCTTTCCATGCTTTGTTTCTGTAGGTTCGTCGCCTGACCATTTGACCCCTGCAATTCTTGCACTTCGATTTACTTAACTTCCACACACCCATAGCATCTACGGCTGCATCTGATGAGCTCAAGGTCTTTGTGCTGATCAGGAAGCTGACGTTGCAAGAAACCCTCCTTGGACGTCCTCCTTGGACGCTGGAGGACAGATGCTGACTGTTCTAAGAAGCCATGAGTTCTAGCACTTCGTCGTTGGTTATTGGATCCGTCCTACCATGAAATATCCCAGGTGCATGTTGATGGCATGATGATAGGTCGCAAGTAATAGGTGTTCTGTTGATTGTAGAGAGAAATGTCAAATTTAATTTGGGCACATGTAGAAGAAAAATATACTCTAATCATGAAAATAGCCACATCTAACATTTTGTGGGCCTTGAAAATAAATCAAGTATAATAGGCTTCCTACAAGATCCCAAAGTTTCATTTTTACTCTCTTCACTAATGCTCTTAACATTATCGAGCAAAAGGCAGACTAAGCCACCATTCGGTCGCTCCCCCACCCCCACCTCACGTCTCACTAGATACAGTTTTTGGAATTATAGAAATGGTTAACAATGCTTGATAACTACCCGACAGACCCTTTATAAAATCACATGAGCTGAAAACTTTACTTAGTGCAGCTTTTTTTTTTTTAATATTTCACCTTTCCGGAGAGCTGCCTGATGGGCTGTCAGAACTTTCAGAACTCGTTCTGTAAAACTTCTTTTTCTGTCATGTGGGATACAAAATAGAAAATTAAACAATAAAACATTCAAGTTGCATGATAACCATATCTTTCAGTCTTATCAGCTGTAACGGATGCTGTAACTGATATGTTAAGAGAAAGTTCACACTAATAACTGCAAGGTCATAAAACAATCTCAAAAGGCGCTGTTAACACTAGCTCACCTGCGAGGCACAGGCAAATCTACCGATTGGTCTTCTTTCGATGGAGAGCTTAGTCCTTGAAAGGTTTTACTCAGTTCTTCAACAGACTTGTCGCTATCCTGTACATATGGAACAACAACATCATCACTTTCCTGTGAATGAGTGAAACTGTCTAAAGAATTCATTGAGACTGGAAGAATGAGCAAATTGACTGGCTTTAATCATATTTTTGCGTATCTGCTTCTTTTAACGAACCCAGTTGGGTGTATCAAAGCTAACCCATGTGCCCTCCCACAGTCATCTTGCAGTTTATAATGGTGTCCCAAAAGACTAGGAAACTAATGGGCTCCCTGAGAAATATACAGAAATTGTAGGTAAACTTTGGTCAACAAGTTGTGACCATTTTCTTGAGAAGAAAGGTTACCATAGCAACAGCATAACCTTTAAAAAACACCCTTAATTTAAGCTTTAGTGCTAATAACTCAAGAGCGAGTTCAGTGACCCCCATTTTTTATTATTGAGCTATGATGCACACGTCATGATACTATGTTTTGAAAAGTTGAAAAAAATTATCAGAGGTGGAAAGCCACCTGACAGAATTTTTTTATATGTCGCAAAAAGTTGTACCATGACATATTGATCATAACTCAATAATAAAAAATGGAGGTCACCGAACTCATTTTTAGTTCTTGGCACTTTAATCTTAAATTAAGGGTGCTTTTAACAGGTTATGCTGTTGCTATGGTAACCTGTTATTTCACAAAAATGATCGCAACTTATCGGCCAATGTAAGCAACTGATAAAGAGTGGTAGTAATGGAAACCGTAATTAGCCAACTTCAAACACTTGTTAATTGATGGAACCATTTATTAACAAAGCTTTTGTAGGAAGTCAAGTATATTTTCCTTACCATTCCATCACTTACTACTATTACATGAGGTTCACAACGATCTTTGCAGGACTTTTTGAGGGTTACTGGTAGCTGAAAGATAGCAAATAATATCCTTAGTGCAGGCTCCACAACAATTAAAAAAAACACACAAACACAAAATAGTGAATTAAATTAAACCAGTTGTTTAACGCTTAACTAAACTAAAATTTGCGCTAAGTACTTACATAGACAGTGGAGCATCAAATTTTTCTATGCTCTTTGCTGAAATGAGAAAAAGATTGCAGATTAGGGTTTTGAGTAAGAAAAAAATGTAAAGCTTTATTTTGAAAAAATGAGAAATAAATTTAAAATTACCCAACTTGAAATGCAGAAGTAATCACATTGAAGTAAAGGTTTTATCATTACGAACTGTCGTTTACCTACTTTCTTCAATACTCAAGGCAAGTGCTTTCCTGACAGCCTCACTTTCAGAATATTGACCATTGATGCTGAAAACAAAAGTTCATTGCACATTTCCATTAAAAAGTAACTTTTGCAACATCATAGAGATCGTGAAAAGGAAAAAAATAGACAAATCTAGAAGCTTACCTATCGTTCCACAGCAACTGGAATTAGGAGTGAGGCATTCTCACCATTTTCCTAAACATAAAGAAAAGAAAAAAGCAAAAAGCAGATGTGACTGAAATGTTTCTCTTAGAAAAAGTACAAATTCTGCCAGTGGGAATGAGTCGACACAACGCAACTACTTACGCTGTCATTAGAATCTTCGTGAACATTGCTGTGGAGAAAAAATTATGTGAGAAGCTAGGTACAGTCTTATTAAAGTTTCAGAGTTGCACAAAGAAAGCGTGCAAACGCAAATCGACTACCTTAATACAAAACCTTTCAAAACTGATGCCTGCCATTGCATAGAATTACGGTAAGATCATCTGACTACAAAGTGAGAATGTGATTGCCTGATAAACTGACAAACGCAACTCAGTGACAATTCGCAGTTCACATAGCTTATGAAATCTTCAATCTCAAACTGTGGTTTGACAATAACTTACATCGTTTGAGAATGGACTTCCTCTCTATCGGGTTCTGTAAACAGACAAATAAACAGAGAATGACAACCTTTTTCACTTAGCAACATGCAAGGAAAGAAAAGATCGAAAAGGATTGAAATGATTATTAAAATGGTAAACGAATTCAAACTTTTGCACGCCCAAACCCGATGCAGATCTGTGCATGCGCGTGAATTTACTGCTGGACAAAAAAACTGTGGAAAATCAGGACTGGGCCACCAGGCCCCTGTGCTGCCAGGCCACTGGCCCTTCAGGCCGCCAGGCCCCTGGGCTGTCGCGGGCTGAGGGCCCGGACCTGCTTTTAGCAAAACCTCGTGTTCGATTGCTCAGTCATTTAATGATCAACTAACTCTTGCGGTTAATGTTGTATATTGTTCATAATAAATCCTCTCCGGCACTATTTGAGATGGGTGTGAGTCTGGGCTTACTCTAACTCCACGATAAACGCAGCATTTCTGGCACTGATCGCCTCAGTTCTGGATCTTTAGTTTTGACGAGGACATTCCTGACCACACCATCTGTTCCTGGATAGACTTCTTTCACGGAGGCAAGTTCCCATTTTCCTCGTGGGATGTTGAAATCGACAAGAAAGACATGGCTGACTATGTTGTGAACAAATTGGAAGACACACTGTGACTCTTGTGAGCTTCTGCCAACTCGAGTAATGTTAAGGATCTATCAGTGGTTACTGATTGCTTAATAGAGCGATTATTTTTGTCTTCTTTTTCTGAGGATCGTCTTCTGTGCTTTGACAAACTGACTTGATTGGCCCCTCTTCCTTGAGGCCTTTTAAAAATTGTGGCCCATTCTTCCAATGCCCATCGATGTCTTCTAAAGAGATGCCTTGGCTAAGGTCGTCAGTAGGGTTAAGGTTTGTTGGAACAAATCGCCAGTACTTGGGGTCCCAGGTAGACTGTATGGCGGCAACACGAACTCCCACAAAGGGCTTAAACGAGACTGACTCAGAGTTCAACCAATGTAAAACGATCCTGGAATCTGACCAAAAAGTAACTGACACAGGCTTAAACTTTTAAACTCGTCACAGATGATTTGGGCAAGTCAGGAAGCCACTAGGGAAGCCATCAGCTCTCGTCGTGGGATAGTCGTCTGTCGCAGTAGTGCAACTCTCACTTTTGCTGCAACCAGACGTATTTCTGGTCTGTGTACTGTTGGCCACAGAAGATAAGCACAGTTCCAACACAGCTACCGTTGAGTCATTCAGGGTTGAACAGATAGGTACTATGTGGTCACCTTTGCATATTGGACACTGATTTTTTGTCAATGATCCATTGGGTGGAATGAATCCTTTCTTTTCCTCGGCCACCTCCACCAAATTCAGATTGGATGTCGCCAAAGTCTGGGTCGAATTAGGCCTTGACGTGTTTCCTCACAGTCACTTATGTGTTGAAGTGTGGGAACCTAGCCTCTTTCTCTGATATCCACCACCACCCCTTTCCATTAGTCCACGAGATAGTCAGGAAGACGCATGACAATTCTCCTCAAGTTACCGTTGGCGTTTACATCTGCATAATAATTGTGGTGGTGCATGATGGAAAGGCAATTGAGCTCTGGCTGTGACACTCGGCTGGCCAAACTGCTCTTTAGACACTTTAGAGCTGTAGCATACATTATGCCCTTTGATCCCAGGCCGGAGATCGCTCGTTCAGCTTCACTCTTTAAGAGCATGCATAACTAAATCATTTGGGTGTCATCTTTAAGGTGTACCTTTTCATGGATGTGGATCTTGAATTGATCTATGAAATCTGTGTAGGAGAGAGGACCACCATCGAAGGAAGGTAGCTGTATTGAAGAAATGTCATTATTAACTTCTAATTTGAAAAGCACATTGGCTGTCGTGAAATTTCCTGCATCGGACTTGGGAAGGACTGTCTCTTGAGACTCAAAAAGGTTGTCAATCCAAAAAGGCAACTGAGCGGGCATGCTCCAGCTTGCTTTTGGGAGCTACATTTAATGTCACTTCATGTGAAACAGGCGGTTGTTTTGAAGTCTTTATAGCCTGTTGAGCTTCAACATTATTAGTAGGGGTGTGACCAGCATGATTTTCCACGAGTGTTAAATCCTGGCCAGGAACGGGCTGGACCTGGCAATTTGCCGATACATTAGTGCCACTTGATTGTCCTGAGTTCGGCACAGAACTACAGTATTTGCTTCACTTGCGTTACTTGCATGACTAGCCTTTCCAGTGGAATCGTCTGCGTTACTTGAGTGATTCGTGTCCCCCACAGAAGCACTTGTGTTACTTGCATGGCTTGCATCCTCTACGAAACCGGTCGTGTTAACTTGAATTTCGTCAAGCACGGTTGAAGAAACTTCCACTTCTTCAATGGAAGATACATCATTAGCCAAATCATTTTCCCACTGATGCAGGGTGTCGTGTTCTTCTGCCTCCACTAGACCATACAGCTCACCATTCTGCTCTCCAGCAATTTCGTAGTCCTTTCGAAGCTGTTTGATTTCTTTCCCCAGGCGTGCTTTTTTCGCTTGAACTTCATCTTTATCCAGTGTCTCATGAATACGCCTAATAGCCAAGGTTATTCTTTGGCGACTTTAAGATCTTTGTCTTCTTTTCTTCTTAAGGGTATTCTCCAGGTTTATAGTTTCTTCGCTGGTTCCTTCACCTTTGGCTGCCATCTTTCATAAACAGAGGATTATCTACAAGGGTACCATACCAACTGGCCGACTAAATCAATGCTCAAATCCTTCAGAAATTTTGGTATAGACCCCAGGAGACAGCAACCGAGATGAGAAGTCCTTTAATAGCCTTAATAAAGTAGCAATTCTGAAAATCAAGGTACAAATGAATGATTCTAAGATTACATTCCGATCATTTTTGGGACGTATAGTGAAGCCGATTTCTAATTACATTATAATAAAATGGCTAGAACAAGTTCAAAGACAAACAGATTGAGGAATAAAACAATCGTACCTGAAGGGTAAAACCTCGCTTGGTCGAAAAGGTTTGAACTGTCCGTAAGGAAATTACTGACTGTAAACACTGTACGAAAACAATTACTGTCCATGTGTAACTTGTCTGAGCTACTTGAGAATGAAACACTAATAATGAAATAAATCACTTGTTCGATTGCTCAATCATGATCAACTAACTCTTGAGGGTTATATTTAAATCAAACATATTGTTCGTAACGGTGACGTGACCGGTTATTTGAGCTGCCAGATATTTTTGATGGCCTATGTTAATTAAGACCCTTTGCCAATTCCGTTTCATTCGGTACCAATAATATCAGGTCCAAGATTCAACGGAATCGCAAAAAGTCGGTACCCGATTGATGTGCATTGGTGTGACCTGATGCCAATATTTGGACGCGTTCCCTTAGTGGTGCAGCTGTAGCTTACTTTATGGTTGTTTTTGTTGAAGATCTTGTGCAGTTTGTGTGATTTGGGGACATTTTTATCAATCAAGGGATGGAAGGACTTTGCAACATTTGTTTGCACATTCTGACTAAAACGTGGATTAAACCAGAAAAGTGTTACGTGATCTGGTTCGATTCTTCTTTTTTGCTCAAGTTTGCCGGTTTTCCTCTTACTGGATTGTTTCATCGTAAGCACTGGATCTAAGGGCATCATTGTATAACTGTGGTGATTTAGCAAAGTCTGTGGGTCACAAGAGAGTGATGATATTCTCGTGCTAATGGAAGCTGGAATTTGCCTAATGATAGAGGGTGGATGGTTGGACTTCGAGTTAATGTACAATGGATTGTTGTCTGGCTTTCTGAAAGGATAGTATTTTACGGTTGTGAGGTTGAGTGTGACATCTAGGTAGTTGACGATTTTCGTGTTGCTTTGCACAGTGATTTTTAGGCCAAGGTCTCTAAGAATCTTACAGAAAGCGTCCCGGGCTTTATCACCTGATCTTGCATTCGTGTTCTTAAAAACGGAAGTCCATCATTCCTATACAAGCCAATGCTGTCATTTGGGTATTCTGATGAGAGTTTGCTCAGAATATACATATCTATTTAAGTAAATGAAAGTTCCTCCCCTCTTATGGCCACCGCCTGCCCTCATTTCCTGGAATTGATATGACTCATTATAAAATTTTGTTTCCGCCTGACAACAAACTAATTGTAAATTGACAACGGCAAATTATACAAAATAGTGTTAATGAAAAATAATGGTAAACAGGTAACATCATCAACATCATCATCATTATTGAATTATTAATTTGTTTATCTATCGTGTAGTGTATTGCGTAAATTTACTCAATGTTGCACGTTATTTAGGATACCAACCTATGCCATAGGTTTCCACCTATTCCCTTATGAACGTAACATTTACGTTGGTCCATTCTTTTAATTCCTGTCCTCTAATGGCCACTGCCTCCCCCAAGGGCCCCTTCCCTGGATCCACCACTGCATCTTGTATGGTATGGTAACTTTATTTATACATGGTATTTCCTTCAGGTACATTTACATTCAACTATTGAAAAACTACCTAACTAATCTAGAATCTAATACAAAATTTGACTAACCATAATTAAAGTTTCACAGCAGCTTTATGTGCTACATTTTACGAAACCAGAAGATGTTATAGAAATCCACCTTTTATTTCATTATACGGTTCACCTGAAATTTAGATTTCCTTCCCAGAAATTTCTTAAAACGTTTAGTTTTTAGATCTGAAATTTTCAGTTTCGTAGATTTTATACACTAGCAGTTATAGCTTTATGGAATCTATTTACATCACTGCTAGATATACTCTGACAGACCAAGTGCGGAATAGAATGCCTTTTTCATTTGTAAATTACCGTAAGAGATATTTTTAAAATGTCTTATAATATCTTTCCTTTTTATACTTCTGTGACATAGAGATAGGTGGTGGTTTTCCCCCACTCTTGTAATCTGCCATTAAACTTTTTCACTTCAAGTTTGGGCAGTTTTGCTGTAGTTTTGGGTGGCACAAAACTACTTGGCGATTGTGTGGACCAGTGAGTCCTGGCGTAAACATTTTCTCTTCTTTTTTATTTGTGGTTGAATAGGGGACAGTAGTGAAAATTGTCTTAGAGCGTTATGTGTGTTTGCTCTTTGTTGGCCCAATTTGTTCCAGTTAAATATTTATCATGTCTTGTGTCCTCTCTGCATTCTAAATGTACATTATTGATCCTATTCTACATGTTGGCTTTGTCTATTTGCGGTATTGGTTGCCTAGGAGCCAACTCAGGGCCGCCTTTTTGGACTGATTTCTTACTAGGTTCCATTGGCTTTACAAGAATCAATAATTGTATTATAAACTGTATCAGACCATATGTGTGGAATTTAATTATTGAGCTGGGAATCACAGTAGCAAGTGATGTATTGTTCGTAGAGAGGATGGGGTCCTTCATCTATCCTGCAGTATACCCTTCGGTCAATCTTGACCAAAACTCACAGGCTTCCACGGGTTTATTCAAACGCGATCATGGGTCCCAAATTTAAACTCACTGATGATGGCTCTTTTGAGTTGTTGAACTGAACAATACAGGCGTCGTGTGCATTGTTGAATCCTGACTAAGGGCAACAGTCTTAGATGGCATGGCTAATCTCAGTGGGATTTGCGTTTTTATGGGTTTGTTTTGTATAGAATTGTCTATTTGTCAGGGCTCAAAATAAATTTAATACTGTTGCTGGTCGTGTTGACCATTCAAAGAATTAACTCTGTCTCGTGTCTCTTCTGACAGACCAAAATAATAATAACATGAAATGATAATACCTTACTTCCTTTACAAGCTCTAGGATAAAGTGAAAATGATGCTTGCCCTCTTGATGGTGTGAAAACTGTTTTTATCCTGAGTGGCTAACAATTATTAGACTTTTGCTTACATGTACAATTTACCTTGTGCGGTCTTGGCAATTTGGTTATTAACTCTAATCTTAGTTCTATGTTGGTAAAGAAACCGTTGGCAGCTCCTAAAAAGACCTCTTACTTAACTGTTCCAGCAAGGCGCGCATTTCTTGAAATAGGGTGTTGATCAGATGATTCTGTTCAGCTATCCGCTTTCAACGAGGGTCCACTTTGATTTTACAGGTGTAGAATCCACCAAACCATTGCTGGGTAGATCTTGCTCGACTTTCTGAAAGACTTTTTCCAGGATAGCGTCCATGATAAACATCCGATGAGTTGTGATGCTCTTAGTCTCTTTTTATAGTGTTTCATTTGCATGCAGTAAGTGGTAGTAAAAGAGACAGCCACACTAACCATGAGTCGGTGCACCAAGGTGAAAATAGTTCACCGCTATTTCAATGCATTCACGATAACAACTGCGCCAACAACGTTAATTAGCTTTTTACCGCTCTGTTTTGGGGTGAAAAAAGTGATATCTAAACAATTTATAACACCAAAAAGTGAACCAGACAATAGCATTTTCTGAGAAATGTCATGGTTCCTTCTGAGAAAATTTGCATTATATTGTCTCACCTGACTGTTGTTTTTTTCTTAGCTAAGATTGTTTAGTCTAAGAGATTTGCATGAGATTAAACTTACTTCCTTAATACTGTTTTTAGCCTACAAGGTTAAAATAAATGTTGTGTATACAGTATGTTCCATTGCGCATATGTAATAGTAACTAGGTGACTGCGCATGCGCGTTGCAACCTGTCTCCCGTGTGTGCGCTTTACCTGTGTGTGTCAAATATCAACCTATTCTGACGTAGTATTGTATAGATGTCTTTGCAATTGAACCTTTGTTTTACCAACGACCCTAGTTTGCATATAATGCAATCACACGTAAATACCTCCGACCTAAATCTCCAAAGATCTCCGATCCCTAACTCACACTATAACACAAACCCTAACCCTATTCTCCGACTACAACACGAACCCTGACCCCAGCCTCCAACTAGAAAATGAACCCTAATGTCGCAATTCTTGATCATGTGACACCTCCAAGCATGATCCCTGGTGTGTGACTAGGCCTAGATACAAATATCGCAAAAAATGTTCTAAATTTCTTTCTAGAAATTCTCATAAAATTCCTAAATTTCTTTTGAATTTAGTCTAAATTTCTTAGCAAATCTTCTAAATTTCTCAGAAATATCATTTTTTTCTAATGTTAATTTGGCCCATTTTTGGCTTTATATCAATTAAAGAAATGAAAAAAAAATATACATTATTATTTGAATAGCAAAAGATGTATATTGCGGGGCTGGTTTATTTTAAGGTATAATAAGTAAATAAAAACATCTAAGCAACTCGATTTCATCAATTTCTGTTTATTAATTAAATATTGCAATTTGCCATAAGTGCTTTGCCAGAACACGGATCCCAGAACACAGCAATAAACAGTTAAAGAGTTTATTGAATTACAACATCGTAGAAGACAGTGTTATGTGACTGTTATGTATTTCAAACAACAACTTTTCAAACAAAGTTTTGCGTGCAACTAGGCACGTTGTTAATAACATAATAATGATCAGTCTAACAACTTAAATATATAAGTCCCCCCATACTTCTTACTTACATGTAAATAATCTCAGCGATCATTTACTCGCAGCATCAAAGAAGTTTCAATGTAATCTTTCAGCGCATCATGTTGTTGAAGACCACGCTGGTAGTTCTCGAGCTACTGACTTCCACCAGGGCCAAGAATCTGACAAAGTATCAAATTCATCAGGAATTTGAGATGCCTTCACAATGTAGGTTGGCAGTTCATCTTTCAGAGACTGAATGACTTCATTGTTGCTAAGAAAGGGGACAGCTCTGATTTGATCTATTGTTTCAGCATCTGGTTCTGACACTTTGACAAACTTCGGGCTAAAAAGCTGAGCAGCTTGGAACACTTGGATAGAACGCGAGACTGTGGCATCATTTGCTGATGTGTTGGTATAGTATTCAAAAGCTGGCATCAAGCATTCTCTAAAGCCATAGTTGTACCATCTTTGCTGTTCTGCAACATTGAGAGGAAACAGCTGCCACACCGGTAAGAGTAGGGAAGTTGCGGACTCTGATAAATGCCTGCAGCATTTGAAGCTTCTCATAGGCAATCAAAATCAATGTTCCAGCACCTTCAAGGGTGTATGTAGACTTCACAAATTCCTCCATTTCCATCACTGACGCTAGCTCAATCTTTAAGCTTATTTGTGTTCACATCAAATATCTGGAGTAGTCGTTGTCTTGAGGTCTTTGCAAAATCTTCATTGCTCGTTAGAAAAGTTCTGATATGCTGCCATTCTTGAAGCACTACCATTGCACACTCCCAATAACTCCACCATCTTGTGGAATTGTACCTTGGCATTGACCGTCCACTTATGCCTCTCCAAATATTTCTAGCTCTAATACTGGTGCTGAATATGAGATTCCATGTTGCCATAAATAGCTTGAGTGTTGGTGTGTGGCATTTCTCTCCCACTTTGTTCAGGTAATGTGAAATACATCCAATATCAATCATATCAGGATAAAGCACAGACACCGTCTGCAGAGCTTTCGTGTTAACAGAAGCTCTGTCTCTCATCGCTGCTAAAAGACTGTTCTCTTGAATATTGATTTTTCTGTGCAACACCTCGATAATTATGCCAGCTAGCTCGTCACCGTTTACAGAACTTTTTAAAAGTCTCAATCTCACAAGCCTCTGCTTTATTGTCCATGATTCCACAAAACGAACCAGAACAACTAATGCTTCCCCATCTCGCGTAGTTCCATCAAATATGATGGCAACATCTTTTCCCTTCACTTCTTGGCAAATGCATCTTATTCTTGTTCGAGGATGAAAGGAATAAGTTGTCTCATGTTCGAACTTGAAGTAAGTGGGTATCCCACCTCCTCAAATAGATCTCTGAAATATTCTGCCCTGCTCAAAGGTGTACCACTCTTCAAGAACGCTTTAACAAATTTCACCCTGAATAATCTTGTAGTAGAAGGAAGCATTTCTCCCTTTGGATGGTTCTTATCGTCATACTTTGCAATGGCCTTTCTAATGTCGTCGTCTTTCTTGTCGTTCAGCAACCACTTTTCTTTGTTCTCCTTGTGTTTTTTTCTTGAAATATGAACATGTATATTCTGTTTCTTCAGAGAAACTAGCTCACGACAAGCCGTGCAAAAAAGTCCCCCGTTTGCCTGTGCGGTGAATGGCTCATCTTTAAATTCTTTGGCTCTGTCTTTAGCTGAGATTGATTTTGGCTCGCTTTTCGCTGCGGTTAAATTGGGCGAACTTGACTTTGATCTTCGGTTTCCTTTTCCAGGGTTGGTTAGCAATTTTCTTTTTCGAGATAAATCACTTGCAACAGGCGGTCGTAGGTGTGACAAAACTGAAACAACCTCATCTTCTCTTCCTCTTTGTTCTTGTTCACTCGCCTGTTCAATTTCCACTTCGATAACTTCCGCCATGTTGACTGATTGATTCCACGTGGCGTCGAATTAATTTGTAGGTACTTTGTATATGGTGCATCTTATTGTACTGCAGAATAAATCTGCTGAATTGGTAATATCGCTGGCTCGTAAAAGGACACGAAATTAATATAAACCGTTTTTTTTGTTCTTATGAAGTATCTTTTTTGTGATAATTGCTCTAAATATCACTTTTTTTTCTAAATTTCTCAACATTTTCTAAATTTCTCAAAAACTTCTAAATATCTCAAAAAATATCGCGATATTTGTATCTAGGCTTATGTGTGACTCGGGCAAAAAGTGCCACGCCCTAAAAGTGACCCCAGTAGATGCATACCCTACTGACCAGATCGGCACTTCCAGTTAACTATCAAAGTAAGACCAATTGTGTGGTGTTTAATAATTGCTTGATTAGCACAGCCTGGATGACAGCAATACTTGAACAGCTCTAAAAACGAATCAAGTGAGCAAATCACTTTGCTTTCCTTAACCAGTGAGACTTCTACCATAAGAAAGCCCTGTTCCTCTAGCCTACTAAGCTTGGGATATTGTATGGGCCCAGTGGAAGGGCAAGGTCAGAATTCCAATGTTTGGAACAAATAGGTCAGAATTCCAATCTGTGGAAGGATAGAGTCAGAATTCCAATGTTTGGAAGGATAAGGTCAGAATTCCAATGTTTGGAACGATATAGTCAAGATTCAAGTGTTTGGAATAATAAGCTAAGAATTCCAGTGTTTGTAAGATTAAGATCACAATTTCAGTGTTTGAAAGGATAGGTTGAGAATTCCAATGTTTGAAACGATAAGGTCAGAATTCCAATAATTGGAAGGATAGAGTCAGAATTCCAATGTTTGGGAGAATAAGGTCAGAACTCCAGTCATTGGAAGAATAAGATCAGAATTCCTATGTTTGAAAGGATCAGTTCAGAATTCCAATGTTTCGAAGAATAAGGTCAGAATTCCAGTGTTTTGAAGAATAAGTTAAAAATTCGAATGTTTAGAGGAATAAGATCACAATCCCAGTGTTTGGATGGATTGGTTGAGAATTCCAATATTTGAAAGGATAAGGTCACAATTGCAATGTTTGGAAGGATAGAGTCAGAATTCCAATGTTTGGAAGAATAAGTGCAGAATTCCAATGTTTGGGAGAATAGGATCAGAATTCCAATGTTTGGAAGAATAACAGTAGAATTCAAAAGTTTGGAAAAATAAAATCAGAATTCCAATGTTTGGAAGCATAACGTCAGTATTCCAGTGTTTGGAAATATAACCTCGGAATTCTAATCTTTGGAAAGGACAGAGTTAGAATTCCAATGTTTGTAAGAATAAGATTAGAATTCGAATGTTTGGAGGCATAAGGTCAGAATTCCAATGTTTGGAACGATAGAGTCAGAATTCCAGTGTTTGGAATAATAAGCTCAGAATTCCAGAGTTTCAAAGAATAAGATCACAATTCCAGTGTTTCGAAGGATGAGTTGAGAATTCCAATGTGTGAGAGGATAAGGTCACACTTTCAATGTCTGGAAGGATAGAGGCAAAATTCCAATGTTTGGAAGAATAAAGTCAGAATTTCAATGTTCCTAAGGATAGAGTCGGAATTCCAGTGTTTGAAAGAATAAGATCAGAATTCCAGTGTTTGGAAAAACAAGATCAGAATTCCAATGTTTGTAAGGATAAGGTCACAATTCCAATGTTTGGAACGATAAGCTTGGAATTCCAATGTTTGGAAAGGATAGAGTCAGAATTCCAATGTTTATAAGAATAAGATCAGGTTTCCAGTGCTTGGAGGGGTAAGGTCAGAATTCCAGTGTTTGGAATAATAAGCTCAGAATAATAATAATAATAATGGTTTAATATCAGTACATCCATGGTATGGCTCTTCGCCTGATATAAGATTAAAATAAGGAAATTAAAAGGAAAGAAAAAAAAATACATAAATCTGAATTATGAATTTGTAAAAAAGCTAGGTATAGAATTCCAATGTTTGGAGGAATAAGACCACAACTCCAGTGTTTCGAAGGATAAGTTTAGAATTCCAGTGTTTGAAGAAGCAAATCATTTCTTTTCTGGGCGTGTGAAATTGTAACCTTCTTAACAAAACAAAAGCTTTTCTTCGAGGCTGGCGTTTGCCTGGAGATAGCGCAGTAATCTCTCCATCTTTCCATGTGCCTGTGTAACATGTGGTACTCCCCCTTGAAAATAGTTTAGAAATGCCATTATAGCTGCCGTAAGGCGTCTTCTTTTACCGATCAGCGCTAACAACAGACGGACAACTTTATTCTGAGTTGAGTCCTCGAGGGTTACAGCAATAAGCAAGATGATTTACTATTGACCTCAAAGACTCGACTGACATTAGGTCCCATGTACCATAATTTGTCGTATTGATGTGTTATGTTGTGGTTTAAACTGAAACACAAGGTGAAAGAAATACTGCGAGCGCAAATGAAATACAGCAAAGATGATTTACAGTAAACGAATGGACAAAGCACTTGCATTGTTTTGGCGCAAAACTCCTGACTGCAAAAGAGATACTCCTGCTAGGAAATTACTACTTAGTGCTCTTGAAGAAACAACGTTGAAATAAAAGCTGAACTGAATATGCTAGAAGGCGATTTAAGTTACAAACAACAAAAGTAAATAAGAGCTAGGCGCACGTGGGATTCCTAGGGGAGTTGATTAACAGCTAAATTATTCTTTAGGGCGTTAGATACAATAGCCATGAGGGTGGGTACTTTCACTTTCAGGAGAGCAGGTTGTGCATGAAGCTTTTCCTTGAAGTTTTGATCTTGGTACATGTAGATTTCTTCTAAGAATTGCTTGTCAGTTGTCAGAATTAAAAACACGGATGCCATCTCAATTTCAGTTTTTAACACTATTTCTGGTTACAGGTATGTGTGTGGCATAGCCTAGAGTTGAAGAGAAGTCAAGTCTCATGACTAGTGGTTGAGATTTTACTTTGTGAAATGGACGATAACAGATGTCAGCAGCGAAAAGATCGCAACGTGAGAAGATATGAGTATCATAATGCTGGCCCTAATGCAGTATGGCATACAGATGGGTGTGATAAACACAAGTCCTATGGTGTTCCCATTCACGGGTGCATGGACTGCTAGTAGTGGCCCGATCAACCAACTCCCCTGACAGTGTGGGCCATTCCGTGATGCAGAGAATAAGATCATGGCAGCCATCTACGCCTTTTTTGTGGCGATGAGAATACCAAAAAATATGTGGGGCCACCACGAAAAAATCAACAAAAAAATGATAAATCAGAGCAAAATCGGAGTAAAAAGTCCATAATGCTGGTGGTACTGAGATTCTGCAACTGCGGGTCTTTGTTACATGCCCCTGAATAGGCAATCAGTTGGGGACGGCTGCTTGGTAATTGTAGTGGTTTTGGATGATTCTGATTTCTCTCCGGTTGTGAATATAGGATTTTCCATCAGATTCTCCTTCAAAGGACCTTAGTATCACCCGCCTGGTGACACATGCCTCTCTCCAATTGCAGTCACCTGCTGTTTGTGGTTGGATCAGTACTGGGCCATTGTTTGATCCTTCCGTGAACCCCAGTGATGATCTCAGGTGTTAGGAGGTTTGCTGACTTGTGCAATGGGCTCCTTGTTTGTCTGTTCATCATTTGCTGGACAGGACTGACATAAATTCTTTCCTGAGGTGTGTTCCGGGTTTGTAAGATGACAAGGGAGACGGTGTGGCCGAGTTGTCATCCCGAGTTCAAATCCTCGGCCACGCTTGTAAATAGCCGACTGGTTTCCTCCTGCCAGTTGGGATTTTTAATCCTGTTATGTTGTATTTGAATAATTTTATATTTGCTATTTGTTGCTGATCCTCCTCCAACAAAGACGTTAGTCATGCAGATTTCTGGTTTCTTTGGTCGTAGGATTGCTACTTTGACACCATGTTACGATAGCAGACATGAGAGAGCAAAGCCATTTCAATTCAAGCACATTTATTCTGTATCTGATCATTCTAATTTAAATTACCTAAGTGATAATCTCCACGTGACAGCGTGAGGTGTCTATCAATAGCGATTGCATAATCGACACGAGGCAAGTACAACCGTAAATGGGTGTTCAGTATAGTGGAAAGAGGCAGTGGCTGTACTCTCACATTCTATGTCCCAGTTCGCACAAGAGAGACCTTAGTAACCCGGCTGGTACAAGAGTTCATCGAACCAAGAACAGTGATTCTTTTCTGACAAATTTTCCCTGTATTTTAACCTAAACGCCATCGGGTACACACGTGTCATGGTGAACCACTCTGATAACTTTGTTGACCCGTACACTGCAGCTCACACTAACACCATAGAGCTAATTTGGAATGCAGTTAAGAAGAAGTTGAATGGTGGAATTAATGATCAATTTTGCGTACAACAGTCATGTACCCTCTTTCCGTGAGAGTGGTGGTTCAATAACAGAGGACCAATAACATTGCTGCTAAACCGACCAATCAGGGGGCCGGGTGTTCCTTTCAATTTGCAACAAAGAAAATTGCGCCCCCCCCCTCTGTGGAGGTGTCAGCACAATTATGTGATTCTTCAAGTCAAGCCACTCGCATTCATTCATCATTGTCTCCTGTCCTCACCGTAGATCCTCTGGCTGCAACAGGTTGCATGAGAGCAAAGATGATTGGGAGTGGTTTGTTGGTCAACATCATCATCATCATCATCGTGATCACAATATATAAAATTTATGCAATCAAGCTTAGAGGTTAACATACCCTTTGGAGACCCTTCGTTGATAAAAGTTGCACTTTTGTATTTTCTTGTATATCTTTCTGCTCCTTCAGTTTGTTCTTTAAGTTTTCCTACATTCATATTGGTCTTCTACACTGTGACTCACGGTGTTCGGTGAATGAATGTCCAGCTTTCCGTTTTCAGTCGACAAGGTGAAATGAAACATAATTCCCTGTGCTGAAATTCTGTTATCCTGAGATAAACTGATAACTTATGAAAGCAAGAAACAGAAACCAACAGCCTGTGACCAA